TGAAGACGATGGTCTTTAGACCCTAATCAAAACAGCAGCAGTTACTTACTGGTCGCGAATGTCTTTACCAATTTGTTAAGTTAATCCCTATTCAGGGTGGATCAACAAATGGGCCAGAATTTTCGATGAATGAACTTGGCCACGAATGACGTAGCTATCTAAACTGGTTAGGTTTTATCAAGTAAAAATATTAAATATATAAATACTTTAAAAATGCTAAGCCACTCGAACAATTGTCTTGTTTAATTCTTTCTGATAAATGCTTCCAATCCCGAATTCCTGTACACCAAACATTATTCCTTTGTTAAGCAAATAACCAGCGGAGTTCACAATAGACAGCGTCTAGTATTTTGGAATATCACAACCAAAAACGATTAACTGGTCCATATTTAGAATTTGAAACATAGTACGATTTTGAAAAACACCTATTGTTGTGGTGAAAAGGTCCTGAAGGATGTAAAGGCCCCATATCAAGAAATTGACGCTTTTCGTTATCACTTAATATTTTGTTCTTGAAGTTTCTCAAGTCATAAGATTTATCGTACACATTTTCGAAAAATGTAGAGGCCTGTGGTTCCTCCAAATCCTCCGCTCTTATGTGTTCACGTGAAGAATTTACGGGAATTCCCTAAATTCAAATTTCTCTCAATTGAGTTGCCATGATTAAAGTTGGGTTGCAACCTGTCGTATTTATTTTGAAAATGGGAGAAATTTCAAAAGTTCAGTTCGATCGAGATTGTCTGGTAAGAATTCGAGGGCCCCCTGAGCTTGAGGGCCCCGAGGCACTGCCCCGCCTAACCCCTAAGTAGCTACGTCACTGTTGGCCACTCGTAGCTAGACTCCTGATGCTGGCAAAGAAGTACAATTATTATCTAGTTTAAAAATATGACAGCTAATAAGCAACCCCACAGAAAGAGTTTTCGCCATTTTCGGGCTTTCGGTAATCATATTTCAAAGTGGCGTCGTATCATCCACAATATTCATGGGGTGTCAAATTGTACAGTCGACATTTACATAATCTTTTATTTATCAGAAATGGTGAAAAATCTACAACCATGCTGAATTTTAAGTATTGTTTACCCGAGTAAAAATGAAAAAGACTAAAGGCCGCCGAATTAGCTCCAAATGTCTAAAAACTACTATTTTACCACCGAAATAGCGCCGGTGAATACGACAAAAATTAAAAACTCTAAAATACGACCAAAATACCTCTATTAAAACGACCGAAAAAGCGCCGAAATAGCACCGAAAACGGCTGCCTACAAAAACGACCGAAAAACCACCGAAATAGCACCGAAAACGGCTGTCTACAAGAACGACCGAAAAACCGCCAAAATAGCACCGAAAACGGCTTCCTACACAGCACAAGATACAAAAATAATGATTATGGATTATTAATTTATTCATAAAGTATTTAATAACTTTTATCAATTAAAATTGATATAAGGATATAGTTAGTGATGGTTTTTGTCGTAAAAAAAATTTTATATTAATGTTTATGAATATACATATATTTATATTCTCTTTTAAATGTACAATACTTCTCAGACTTTTGAAAATTTAAATATTACATTTCCGAAAGAAGGTCATAATTTAGAGGGCATTATTACGTATACTAACTTTAATGTCAGTAGGATAACTTTTGAATAATAACATTTTTTCTGCCTATTTGCTGTGGGTGCGACAGGTGCGATGATGCATTGAATTATAATGCACAGCCACATAATTATTATGGAAATAGCAATAATAAAATAAGTAATAATAACATTAATCATAATATTAACAATAGTAATAATAGTTCAAATAATAATGATAGTTGTTACAATATTCAGAATCTTTAATACTTTATAACATAAATAAAAGTTAATTAATAATTAATCAGTTTTTGTTATTTCATGCGAGAAGAGTACTGTTCCAACGCTCTTTTAGTAGAAAAACGGCGGTTTTTCGGTGCTTTTTTGGCGGTTTACTGAAATGCGGTGCTATTTTAGTGCTATTTCGGCGCTATTTCGGAGGTTTAGTCCTGCAAACGGGCCTTTTTTCGTCGTTTTTTGGAACAATTTACGGTGCTAATTTGGCGGTATTTTAGTTGAGTGAAAAATTAATGAATTATTTTTACTCGGGTACGTAAGTGTTAAAATTAAGGATGTTACAAAAGGAAGACGTTTGGGTACCTTAAATAAAAATTTCAATTCTAAAGGTCTACTTGTCTATATACCTAAACTTTATACAATAAAAGTACATTGACTTTGCGAGAAAAATGCCATAAACGCACGTGGTTTCATCTTGCGGCTGCCGGTTTTGTGTTAAGTAAGTTATTCGGCCTCGTGCTATAAATGTCATGGATAGGAAAATCATTAGTGTTGTGATCGAGTACGTCACAACAGGCTTTCCGCGACTTGTCTGTTACACCGGCCGCATCGCGGTCGCACCTCGTCCAAGCTGAACGCGCGTACCAACCCCTATCGTTGTCGCGACATGTCCGCAGAAGTCCGTTTCTTATTATTACCGGACAATTGTTCGGTATTCACGGTGCCGTTTGCGTCCCCGACGAAACGGACGCCGAGGTCTATTTGTATTCGTCACGTCTCTATCGCGCTGACACCACAACGCGCTCGCGGCGGCTACAGAACAACACACCGTCGTCGTCGTGTAAAGTTACTTAAGTTGAGTAAGTTTAGTAACGCGACGAGGCGCGAATCGAATGCATGCTAACTGTGCACCTGAACCTCAGGTGATGTCGCCAGTGACATGTCGTCTTTCGGTGCATTCGTTCACCACCTCGAACGGAAAAAAAGACGGAAGTAACAATAGCGAAACGTCGCACAGTACGATGACAATGAAAAGCAGAGTGTCAGGCAAAAGCTACCCGTCCATCAGTGCGGCCTACTGGCAGCCCGCGCCCGTACCTGGACCTTATCTTGTACCAGGTTTGTATGTTTCGCATATTCATTGGTATTCCTTTGCGGCCGATCCTTCTTTATAGTTTTGTCCCGAGTGTACGTATTTATTACATAATAACAATAATACCAGCTCATTGCAGTAGAGTTATTATGCAAGGTCAAACGCTCAATTGTTTTGCAAGTGCAGTGATTGCGCCAACAGGTGAAGATTTCCAGAAAGGAGTGATTATTGTGCTCACGACCTTATCAAAGACTAGATACGCTGTTTGTACAGCTTGCTTAGTAACGCGTTTGAAAATAAACAAAGTAATTACAGGTGTATATGAGCAATAAATAATTATTATATTTACGATAAAACAATTAAAAAATAACAATCAGGTTTACTCTAATTTTTGTTCTTTTTCATATGAATAGTCTTCATATTTTGACTTACTTGATGGACATGAAAAATTTCATGCATTTCCCTTTTCAACACCTAAATTTGTGACAATAATATTGCTAAAGAATATCAGATATTATCCGTATTAAAATAATGTCCGCTCGTAGATAATAATTACAAATAAAGTGGAAGATGAAGAAACATAAGTAAAACGGAGCAGTATAAAAATACAGTCTGGCAGTTGTGTGATCTCTCTGTTGGACAGAAATAACCATCGATGACAGAAAAACCGCTGATTTATGAAGTGGTTGATGTTCAAAAATCACTAGAATTTTTGTAAAATAATACCTTGACTATTTGTTCCATATTTTATTACGCATTGTTGTTTCTATATGTATAAAGAATGTTTTCAAATTTTTAGAATTCGCGGTTTTTACTGTCAAAAACTATCTGTATGTTTCTTACAAGCATTAACAAGTTAGTCATCTTTTAACAGTTTATGACTGAAACTACACCAAGTTTTGTTGTTTTTAACTTTTATAGAATTTTGTTATATTAAGTTCTTTCATATCGAATATGTGGTTAAAAGATTTTGTAACACCATTCTTTCGTATTCTCTGTTAAATCTGATATTTTTATTTTGAATGGCTTCAACTAACAGAAATTAATTCTCAATTTTGTTAAGCATACGTAATTATTCTTGTTTATTGTGTTTTTCAAACGTAATTACAAGTAGTTAAGTAAAAAAAAAACATTGTCCTTTGGTTTTTTACTGTGAAGATGAATCTTTTTTTATAGGCACTTAGAAAAAGTGTCCATCTCTAAAGTAAGTGTTTTTTGCTCGTTCGCGTTGTGCAGACGTAATTTTAATTAATTCCAGGTACCTGGTTAATAACAGCCCAGGAATTTTTCAGCACCGATTGTATCGGATTACTTATCATTGTTTTGGCGTCACTAGTCACAAGTAACTTAAATAATGACAATCGAATAAGCAAACAAATACCTATGTCTTTTATAATAGCAGCTCATGTTGATTTTACATTAAAAAAATGTTACGTACCTATCCAACTCGTATTGCTTATCAATGAAGTTGTGGATGATAATGATATTGTCCATATTTACTTGCCATAGGTACCGTTTTGTATTTTTGGACAATCCTTAAAAGTTTAAAAAGGAAAATGTTGTACTTATTTTAGCAGCAGTGGAACAAAAGAAGCTTTCTTTGTTGGAATAAAAGCATTTCATTGTTCGCCTAAAATGATTAGCTTTTAAAATAGGCAAAACCGTTCGTTTTAATTGGTTTTTATTGATAAATAATATCACCTGTCAAATTTGGACAAGTTAAATTATCCAAAAAGCCATTAATCTGAACTACTTTGCTGTGTAATACGCCCAAACTTGCAACAATATTTATAAAAAAAAGGAAATCCTGTCCTAAAAAGTAATTGATACTGATTGATTTTTAGTTATTAATACTTTGTTTAAATGCATATTTTAATAATCAACGTTGCATTTTATTATACGTGTATGTTACCTACTCGTTACTCAAATTTCATGCTTCTTTTCGTTCTTTTTTACACTCGATCCTTTTTATGTTTTATGGTGTATGTATACTAAAAAAAAATATAGCCGTGGGTAATGTATTTGAATGTTTTATTGAGCGAAATGTAAAAATAGTGGAATATTATAAAAGTGAAAATTCTTATTTTTCTTTTCAGAGAGAAAACTGTTTGTGGGAATGCTTAGCAAGAAGCTGTGTGAAAATGATGTGCGCGCGATGTTCAGTAGCCACGGTACAATCGAAGAGTGTACTGTGTTAAGGGACCAGAACGGTCAATCAAAGGGCTGTGCATTTGTCACTTTCTCTAGTAAACAGTACGCGCTAAGTGCCATCAAAGCTCTGCACCACTCGCAGACAATGGAAGGCTGTTCCGCGCCCTTAGTCGTCAAGTTCGCGGACACTCAAAAAGAGAAAGAACTGAAACGGCAACAGCAAATGCAGGCCAACGTTTGGAACGCGTTACAGGCTACAGCGGCCGCATCGCCCGCAGCTGCAGCGGCTGCGGCCCTTCAGCCGCAGTTGCAACAGCAGTACAACGCGGCGGCCGCAGCTGCAATGCTGCCGAGCGACGCAGCTTCGATTCAACTGCTGCAAGCGATGGGCGGTGCAGCAGCAAACGGCTTGTTGCAACAGCAGTTAATTACGGGAACAGAAAACATATTGGCCCCTATAGGGGTTCAGAACTTGGTGACGCTCGCGGCTATGTCACAGGTCGGTGCCGGTTCGCCTCTTTGTGCTCCTGGTGCCGGGATACTAAGTGGAAAGGGTATCGGTGCAGATGGAAGAGGACTGACGGCGCCTACATTGGCACCTAGTCTTGGACCCGCTGCTGACCTTACCGCCTATGGTACGTTAATCAACAATGCAGCTCTTACTGCTGCAGCCGTTGCGGCCGCAGGAAAACAAGTGGAGGGTAAGTTTTTTTAGTTACTTTTAAACTGATGATACCTAATTAAATATGCGTACACTGATCACAATGCCAACACGTTTTGGATCATAAATATTGATATGGATGTTCTTGATTAAAGGTATTACCTTTTGTCAAAAAAATGGCTTGTTCCTCGGACCAGTTTGAGGATTAGATGGGCTGTTCTTTAGTTGGTAAAGGTCTAGATGATGCCCTCACCCCCTATGGGGGTGGGGTGGGGGGGTCGGAAGAGGAGGTCTCCTCTACCACCGTGCCATAAAAAGTACGTGGCGGTCAAAGTTAATAAATATGCCAATTTTTAGACATTACTAGGCTTGTAAATATTTATATAGTCATTCTTAAACAATATTCAAAGGTAAAACTAATGAAAAATACATAAAAATATTGAGAAAGTTATATAAAACATTATTTAAATATCTTTATCAATAGGGTATTAGGTTAGGTTATCGGGTTTTGTTCAAGTGACCACCCTCTTTCGATCCCCCACCTCCACCCGCTTGAAAATATTTTTTTTATTGAATTTTATTTGAATTATAGTGTATGAAAATTGTCAAAATAATCAACTTTCAACCCCCATAACTTTTTATGGGGGTAAGACCGCGCCAATTTTTTATGGGGTTTTACTCAGGTGACCACCCTCTTTCGATCCCTCCTATCCCCACCCACATCTAACTTGCATAACTTTTTATGGGGGTGAGACCGCAACGAACTTTTTATGGTACAGTGATGGGGGAGACCTCCTCTTTCGATCCTACCATCTAGACATTAACCACCAATTATTTAATTCAATATACCAACTTAACTACCACTAGACATTTACCCTTTAGTTTTATGTATAATCGTTAAATTGCAGATTTTATCATGTTTATATAACGGATAATGTTCATTGAAATGCTTAACACTTCTTAAGTGTTACCCAAAAATTATTTGGAATCTGTCACTTCGAGTTTAATGCTTAAATGCATGTTAGAGACGAACGTCAAGCACATCCCATGGGTTATATTTGTAAGCTTTATTAAAAGCATCTTCGGTAATGTACAAAGATAAATTTCAAGTACCTAGTGGTTCGAAAAGATGCTTATGTAATTATTTTACTTCTGTTATTGACGTTGCTGTTGTTGATTTACTGATGGCTAAAAATATCTTCATAAAATGTTCCTACACTTTTTAAAGATATGTGGGCATCATTTTTGGTTCATAACAGCGTAGTACACATTACATTTTGGTTACCTCGAATTGTAAATATCTTCTTAGCCTTCCCAAGAAGATTATGACCCGTTTTTTATTTACTTTGCAATTAAGAATACACCTGCTTTGTGTATTCTGCTTTATTACACTAACTAGGTAGGTATATATATGCAAAAGTAGATAGGCTTTTCGGATTTCGAGTTTTCAAGGAGCAATTTTGCAACATTCGTGTGTAGTTTCACACATGTTGCATATAAAATGAAGTGTATGTATGTCTGTCAATATGATAATACGTTATTTGTGTTACTGGAAAGGATGTTTATGCAACTAGAAGGATAAAAAATAATGATTTACTAAAAGCGAGACGCATTAACCACCACAAAAAAGTATTATCGGTATCCTATTTTATGATACATTTGTATTGGTCATTTTTCCATTTATCTGTATCAATTATTGAGTTGTTGTCGAGCGGCATGATCTAAAGTCTAGAAGTGTAGACCGTTGCTTAACATTCTTCCGTGGTCCAAGTTATTCCATGGTCTTCTTGGATTACTTAGACACATGTTGGGACAATAATATTTAACGGATAATCTTTTACTTCTGTCTTCATTTCGCCCGTCTCATCTTTCTCAGCCCTATCACCACCCGCCCATCCCCACGATTCCTAAACAGAGGCTAAAGAGGCCACTCCGCCCTACCCTCGGATGTAGTCGGGGGTTATGTTTGCTCACCAGCAGTAGTAGATGGTAAGAATGAGACACCCGAAAGATTGTGTTCTGAAGAGTTTTTGAAGTTATGACCTATTCTGCCTTAATTAGTTTCCCGCAAGTCATAACTTTCCTCATTCCTATTACTCTTGTATAAAAAAAATATTTATTAATTATTAATAAACAGCCATACATGTATACAAAAGCGGTGATAATTAGGAACAAAGTTCACGTTCAGCAAAATGGTTGATTGCAATAATTGTAAATACAACGTTATTACCTGACTTGTTTATAGTAATGGCCATGTATCCAACGAAATATCAATACCAGCACGTTATCACCTTCCTGGTAATGTACAAGCATGCCTTGTCAGTTTATACCAACTTACGCAAGTGTGCATGTGTTATTAGTTTTAGATATCTGTAGGTAAACTTTAAAAAGGAACTCGATATCGCCGGGCTGGTTCTCAGAAATACAACGTTTTGAACTTCGGTTCATTCTCTTACGGTTTGTCACGACTTCGCGCGAATTTGATTGGATTGTCAATCCACGCTCCGTGTATTTGCGACACCATTTGAATTGAATAAAGCATAGCCTCCACTGGACATTTTTAAACAAGACGCTGGTGGTCCTTCAATCAATTCTTTAACATTTTAAGATTCTTTAAGATTTTAAGAATCCAGCTGGACCTAGTAGTAGTTAAGTTGGTATATTGAATTAAATAATTGGTGGGATCGAAAGAGGAGGTCTCCCCCACCACTGTACCATAAAAAGTTCGTGACGGTTTCACCCCCATAAAAAGTTATGGAGGTTGAAAGTTGATTATTTTGACAATTTTCATACACTATAATTCAAATAAAATTCAATAAAAAAAATATTTTCAAGCGGGTGGAGGTGGGGGATCGAAAGAGGGTGGTCACTTGAACAAAACCCGATAACCTAACCTAACCTAACCTAACCTATCGATAAAGATGTTTAAATAATGTTTTATATAACTTTCTCAATATTTTTATGTACTTTTCATTAGTTTTACCTTTGAATATTGTTTAAGAATGACTATATAAATATTTACATGCCTAGAAATGTATAAAAATTGGCGTATTTATTAACTTTGAACCCCTATAACTTTTTATGGGGGTGAGACCGCCACGAACTTTTTATGGTACAGTGCTGGGGGATACCTCCTCTTTCGATCCCCCATCCCCAACCCAGAAGGGGGTGGGGGCCTTCATCTAGGTCTTTACCTAATTGGTTTCTGTAGTTAGAAATTGTAATGTATCTATGTCATCAAAGCTACTTCAATTCAGAGTATGTCCATCGACTGTGGTTAAGTTTGCGGAGCAAAACGAGTGGCTACCCCTAGTTTCAGGTAGCGAGAAAGGGCCGTTTCTGCAGCTCGTGGCCCAAAAGGGCCACTGCTGTAGCCGCATTATTTCCATTAGATGCTATTTAAACAATACAATTAATCAATTCTACGTAAGGGCTTTGGTCAATTTACATACATTGTGATTTTAAGGATACAGCTGGGCCTAGTATAGCAATTAAGTTGGTTAACTCTGGTTTGAACTGCTTACAGTAGCATATCATACTAAGCCGTCTGTACATTGTGGCTAAGGTTGCTTGCTGTTCACTTGTGGTCGCCACAGAAAGCATTCATACGCTAAGTACAATAAAATCTATTTGCATAAGGCATTTTTTGATTATCGTGCTAATCATAAGTTGCAATATAGATAGAAAACCTTTTTAAATAATCGTAAGAATTTTATCAATTCGAAGTGATTAATCTACGTAGTTTAGGGAAAATCGTTTGCTTAAATGTGCACCAGTATTAACCCGAAAGTAGTGATTGTCAATTAAAAAAAGTGCTTGACACGCGAATTTCTTCAATAACAACGTAAAACAGTAGAAATATTGTCTGGCGCCGCTGTTTTATGTGAAGAGTTCTGCTTTTATAGGCTATCAAATAAATTTAAGTGACGACACTAAGGAGGTAGTTTAAAAGGAACATCGCCTGTATCTTCCCTGCTGATTGAAAATTTAAATGTGACACAGATTTGCACCTAGAATTGAGTTTTCCAGCGTGTGTGATAAAGGTCTTATTTCTGCTTCACTTCACTAGTCGGATTTTATACCTATATCAAAGAAAGTGCAATACCATAAACGTTGAAAGTATGATGCGGCGGTGGATGAAACAGAATCGTGGATAATAAAAGCGTTAAGGTTTGTTCAGTGAATAAATGTTACGTATAACTACATATATTTCTGTTTACCAATATAATTAAGAGAAATTTGGGTAAAGGTCTAGATTAGGCAGGGGGGATTGAAAGAGGAGGTCTTCCTGAGTAAACCACCATAAAAAGTTCGCGGCGGTCTCACCCCCATGAAAAGTTATGGGGGCTCAAAGTTTATTATTTTGTTGATTTTCATATGCTAATTGTATATTAATTTTCAAAGAATATTCGAAAATAAAAACAATGAAAACTACATAGAAGCAATGAATAATTTATATAAAAGATTAGTTAAATATTTGTATCTTACTACNGTTTCAACCGTTCTGTATTATGTTAATTTTATGACACAAGTATTAAAAAATTTTTGTTTTAATTGTTTTTTTTTGGCTCTTTACTAATTTTCTACCTTTCTCCTTTACCTTTATTTTAGGTATCTAGGAAGTTAGCTAAATCAGGACGGGATGAGAAGTAGGAATATAAAGCAGAGGGTAGCGCAGGGTAGAGTCGCCTTTTAATTTTAGGGAAATGCAAAGATTAGCTCAGGATACGAAAGAGTGGACGTGTGTGTTCATCCAGTCTTAGGACTGACGACCTTATGATAACGATGACTTTATCCTAGTTTTGTGTGTAACTATTTTTGAGACTCTGTATGTATATTTTCCTATGCTTACAATTAGAAATGTATGCAACGACTTGTAACATGAAATTCTCATTTCACCGAGTTTCTCGTCGATATTTCAAGTGTTTTTTTTCAACTCTATTCCCACTTTACAAAGCTTTCTATAATCTTTGTTTCATAGTACTCTTGTAAATACGGGGAAAACCTACACAACCTAACATATGAGATGAAGTTAATATT